AGTTGCCAAACAAGGTTAATGGACTTCGTCTGAACCCTCATAAGTTCTCATGCGGATTTGAAAAATATGCCGCGTTGTTATCGCATTGTCCACACCACTTCCAACCGTTATTATTAGAAATGTCAGCCGAGGAACCGACTCTTAACGAAAAGCTTATTACAACATCAAAACAGTGGCCCTACCCAGAAGAGCATAGATGATTATTCGGTGGAATGAGTTAAATTTCGCCCATTAAGAGCTCTCTGAAAAAGGAGCGACAGTTAAAGCTATTCTTTTACGTTGCATGAATGGAGACTTATGCCAAACGTCCAGATTTAGTCAAGAGAAAGTGTCATTCTACAGAATGTCAATAGAATCCAACACAGAATAAGGAGGTCAAACGGTTAGGCTGGACTATCTTATCACATGCTACGATATCAACAAGATTAGTATCTTAAGTTTTCCACTTGGTCAGATCACTTGAACGCTTTCTTCGAAATGGAACCTTTTAAACGTAGAGTAAACGTTCAGCCACATTGGAATTCTCTTCTCCCTGTGTGTGTGCGCGCACGCGCGTGTGTGTATGTTTGTTTTTCCCTTTGTCAAGGTTGATAGTGGTGGTAATTTATTTTTCGACCTTATGCAGAAAGTGGTAACCGTAGTAAGCGCTTAATCACTTTATCAACCATTGTGTAGGTTTAAAGAGATTTTGTCAAGATAACTGGAGATAGCTTAAGGCTCAAAGAGAAGTGTATCCATGTGTTTACCAAGTGAATCAATACTAACCTGACACCCACGAGTGCAAACGTGCCCCCGAATATATATATATATATATATATATATACCAGAGAATAATTAAACAAAATGTACATACACTATATTAGATAGATAGATAGATAGATAGATAGTGTAGATGAAAAGTGTGTGAAAAGCGAAGAAAAGAAATAATCTTCAACCACAGCTCTACAAAATGAAATAATTTTATTATTGAGTATAAAAATAATCTTTGTTTTAAGCTGAAAGAAACAAGTTATAAAGTTACTCGCAAACAAAGTTCATACGAAAAACGTATTATGTATTTACAAGAGCTCATATTGCCAGTTTTCTCAAGCACTCCTTATTAATGGTTTCCATATTGTTTTCATTTCTCTGCTTAACCGGCTTAGGCCTAACATATGTGCTGATTCCTTAAGTATTCGTATTTTCCAGTGATGTTCTCTATTATTTCAACCTCATCAAACGGGGGGGGGGGTAACCCCTCTTTTGCCTCCATATGTGGTCAGCTCCGCCTGATTTTTCTATTTCCCCTCGTGTTACGGTTTTACGATATCCTTGCAGTCTTACCTTAAGAGCGCGGCCTGTTTCTCCTTTATATTTCTTACCATAGCTGCACGGGATGTAGCACACACAGTTCCGAAGTCATGTTGTTCTCTATTGGTGTATTACTCTGAAGAGGTTTCTGCAAAGGGTTTAACAACCTTTGAAGGTTGTCCTAGTGTTATAGAGACTAAAAATTTCTATTTTCTCCGATAATCTCTTCACATAGAGTAGGCAGGCAGAAACTGTCTTCTGAGTGTTGTTATCCTCTTGTACCCTCCTATTCCAGTTTGTTGAAACTGTTGCCATGTACCCAGGATAACTGTTATGTTGTTGGGTACTGCTTATACTGACCATTTCTTGTTCATATGTCTCTTGGTCGCCACTTGTAACTTTTACTCGATTATGTAAGCAGCGGAAGATCCATTTCTTTACACTATATGGGTGGTGGGAGTCAAAGATGAGTTAATGTTCGGTGAATTTTGGCTTACGGTATACGAATGTCTTGAACCCATGCTCTGTTCGAGATATTAGCGCATACGAGTTTGTTGTCTTTTCTCTCCATTGTGAACTGGATCGATGATCTTATTGAGTTTACATGTTCCAGTAGTAGCTGGACCTCTTTCTGGTGTAGTCAGAGTATGAAGGTTTCATCTCCGTATCTCAACCATAACGCTGGCTTTAGTGATGCGGATTCTAATGCCATTTCTTCGAAGTATTCCATGTATATGTTTGCCATTGCTGGTGATAATGGCGAACCCATTGGTAAGCCTTCATCCTGCCGATATATGTCTGAACCCATTCCGAAGTGTGTTGTTTGTGTACAGAAAATTCAGCATTTCCATCAGATTATCTATTAGTATACTGGTCCGTTCTCTTAGATGAGTCCAAGGACAGTCTTTCCCTGACTACCGATAGTGTCTCCTCCGTGGGTACCTTGGTGAACAAACTCGACACGTTATGACATGACCCTCGTTATTTATATTAAAAATAATTGTTTAATTAAATCAATCATTTGAAGTATTGATATTTAATATAGATCCCCATCCTAAAATTTAATAATTTATCTTTTATTCTGTATTGTATTTTTTTTTTAATTCTATTTCTTAAAAATACAGCCTTGACTGCTTTTAAATTGAGCCAACGGTCGAATTGTCAATTTCATATGAAGCGTTCGGCGATTTTAATTTTATATGTAACGTTCAACGGTAAGGAGTGTCCTTATACTAACTGAGCAAAAAAAGATTGGGGCTGCTGTGTCGAGAAGACGTAAAAAAAAAACGTTTATCCTTTCTCCGCGAACTAGCTACCACGTAAAATTGACTACTGGTATTCCAGAGACGGAAAGTAAAAAGAAAAAGAAACTTCCGAGATTATTAGGAATTCAAAAGCCAGAATCATATAACTTTTTTGAGTGAAATACTATGTGCTTTCAAGTTGATAAACCCATCAAGCTACACTGATTGACCGAAGCAGTTCTATGTGTGAAGGGAAATATCTCAAAATCCTTCTACTATGAACTCACTGCACAAAATATAAAAAAAAGCAGAAATAATAATCAGTAAAATAATAATAGCCGTTGATCAGCAAAATCATTGATAACACAAGAAAAGTGGCCGTTGAATATTCTCCAAATAATAATCCTTATATTTTCTTTCCTTTATTGTATTGTTTTATTTGTTGTTCTTTCGTTTCTCATTCTATATTTTTATATATTAAAATGATTACAACTTTACATCTCGTATTTGTTTTCGATATGTTTTCTGTGTTGGTATTGGTCCCTAATTGAGTAAAAAATCTCATTTTTCTCCCATTAAATGAACCGCATTCGTTGTCATATGTTTGAAATGTTTTGAAAGATAAAATTCCTAACAACGTCCACACTTACCATCTGATTGGATTGGATGGGAGAATCTTTGATTATTTCCACAAAGTGGGTGGAGTTTCGGTCATATGATGGTGACTTGCCTATTAATGGGCCAATTATATCTACAAGGAAGCGACTCAGAGGATGTCACTGAGCGGAATACCGTCCTTGTGAATTTTGAGGTGACCGTATGTGTGAGGTAGCTTGGTATAACGCTGCCTGTATGTCTTACGTAAGAAGTGGCTCTTGTCCTTGATTAAGATCTGCGACAGTTTTCGTTCTGTTTTCATTGTTGGATCTTTCTTTAATGTAGCTACCATTTCTAATAAGGTCTTCCATTTTTTTCTGTATATTCCGATTTGTCCATCGCTACAGTCGTATTGTCTTTGTCAGCTAGCAGTATTATGACGTTTTCATTCCTCTGTAGGCTTCTGATTGCCAGCCTCTCCAGTTTCGTAAGATTTGATTTGGGCGGCTTGGCTTTCTCCAAAATCTGTCTTAATTTCCATCTTAGCTCATCCGCCCGAGCCTATTCAAGGCTATTTCTTCGATTCGGACAACGATGTCCAAGTATGATATCCGCTTGAGAGCTGTGGCGATGTTTAGAAATTTGTTTAGTACTAACCCTCAGAGGCACTCAGCTGGTGTTGATTGATGTTGATTACCGCCTTCACTGTGTTGTGGGTGATGGACATTGTGCGTCACTTGAAAGATCAGAAAGTGACGCATTTTTTCATTTTTGTAGTTAATAACAACTCTAGGTACATGAAAGCAGCTCCAACTGGATAGACGGATTACATCGAAGGATTTAGCCAGGTCATACTGGACCCTCTTTCGGTCTTCTTCGTCGTTAATTTTGTTGAAGAAGGCCTCGAGACTCTGAGCAATATCAGATTGCAGTTTTTGTTTTATCCAACGGTTTTACTGGATTCTTTCTCGAACAGGGTCGTGTCCTGCTTTTTCTGCGACCAGACGCGCTCGCCTACAATTGACGGAAAATCTTGGTGCCAAGTCTGAAGAGATGAGTCGTAAGTTTCTGCATCGGTGTAGGAATGTTAGATGGTTCGATATTCGTGCCAGTTTCTGGTGAATTTTTCTAATCGCCTCCAATCACCTGAAGAAGGACGGAGCGTACAACGACCTGAACGTTGTGAATATAGGAACAAAGATGAGGACAACAGTACGAAAAATGTAAATAGTATAAATAGTTAAATACCTCATCTCAGAAATACAGTCAGATATCGTTACACTATTTCTAAGAAAAAAATGATCACATGAAGTTAAAAGATAGATTTATTAAACATGGATGTTTTATGTGTTAATAAATATATTTCCCAATGATTAATATCGATTTTTAAGAGGGAAAATATTGGTAATCATTTTCTGGGTGTGAGCCTCCATTTTTTTTAGTATATAACAAAATATTTCAAAACCTAAAATTGCGTTTGAGGCAAACTTTCCGATTGGTCAATAAATGTTAATATGGAAATTGAATTTGACGTTTGTGTGATCCTATTTTTGCACAGAATTGAGCTGATGTCTATGTGATCCTACTTTTGCAGAGAATTGAGATCTTAGCGATACTACTTAAATCTATTGTTTGCTTTTTTCTACAATTTTTATCTGGGTCCTACAATAGATATGGAAGATAGATAGATAGATAGATAGATAGATAGATAGATAGATAGATAGAAATGAGAACAAGAATTAAACAGTTTAATTAATCTACTTTTATGTGATTGCCGTATATCGCCCATCAGTTAAAACCACTCTATAAAGGAAATAAAAAATATTTATTTTATATATTTTTTACTTCTTAAGTTCTCCATACGTTTGGATGATACGTATCTATCTATCTATCTATCTCAGTTTGTTCATATATATCTATGTATCTATCTCAGTTTGTTAATATCTATCTCAGTTGGTTCACATCAATCTATATATCTCAGTCTGTTCATATATATCTATGTATCTCAGTTTGTTCATATCGATCTATCTATCTACTCTATCCATTATCTATCTCTATCTATCTATCTATCTATCTATCAGTTTGTCTATCTATCTCAGTTTGTTAATATCTATCTATTTATCTATCTCAGTTTGTTCAATATCTATCTCTCATTTGTTCATATCTATCTATCTTTTTTTATTATCTATCTTTGTTCTTTGATTATCGATCTATCTATCTATCTATCTATCTATCGATCTATCTATCTATCTATCGATCTATCTATCTATCTATCGATCTATCTATCTGCATTAGTCTTTGTTATCCCTATCGATCTATCTATCTGCATTAGTCTGTATCCCATCTATCTATATTTCATTGATTCTTTCTTTCTTTCTATATTTATTTATAACTATCTATCTATCGTTGTATATGTATGCATGTATCTATCTATCTGTCTCTCTGTCTATTCAAGCAGATCAATTGTATGTGACGAAGGTTTTAATTTCTAAGCTAATACTGAAATAATCATATATACTGGTAAAAATATACGGAGAAGCATGGTTGACATTTTTTACATACACTCACTATTAAATAAGAAAGCCATTCATTATGTGTGTATAGATGCATTTATTTGCCATCATAAGAAACACAACAAACCTGCTCCCGATCAGATCAATCAATTAATAAGCATTAATCATTATATAATGACACCTGAAAGTCTATTAATAATACATAGGTAGAGAATAAAACAGTGAAGCTGTTGAAAAATGATCTTTTGAAAAAAAATGTGTACAATATGCAAATCCAAAAAATCTAAAATAAACGAAAGGAAAACAAAAAAAAAAACAGAAATTTAGTTTAACGAACGATTCCATTAAATACAAAGTTCCAGAACTTACAGGTTGAATGTTTTCTTGTCTTAACAATATACCTGATGCGCTTAAAACACTTTAATAACATATGTGAATGTAAATCACTTTACAACAATAATTTGCTTACATGCAGCAGTATTGTTTATGATAAGTGCCAGCAATCTGGATGTGTTTTTTTCTTTCCTTTATACAAGCAACGCTATACGCCTCTACTCCATCATTGCTAACATGTTCTGTCAATGGTATTCTCAGCATCCTTCTGTAGAACCATATTTCTGTTATCTGAAGTCTTTCTTTTATCTGTGAGGAGATTGTTCAGCATTCACTGCCATATAGAAGGATTGATATTATTGCATAACATTTAAAAGCTCCCTTTGTTAATATTTTGCTTGTCACTGCTGGAAAAGGGGACTCTCTCTCTCTCTCTCTCTCTCTCTCTCTCTCTCTCTCTCTCTCTCTCACTTTTCTGTATAAATAGTACGCCTGAAGATGGCTAGAGAATGAATCAACCAGAACAGTATGGGAAGAGCAGCTATAACTAAAAGAATATAGTTTTGCTATTCACTAATTCATTCAAAGACTGAATTAGTAAATAGCATGTCTTTTGATATATATATATATATATATATATATATTTATTTATTTATTTTTTTTTTTTTGCATCAGTATCAAATTTTCCTTAAACACTTGAGAATCTCTGATGATTACTGTATGAGGAATATCAAATCTGGATACCAAAACTTCTGTCTCAACAGAAATATGTTCAACAATTGTTTGATTCGCATATACCAGTATCAAGCGTTAATTATTTTCTTCAATTCAAAGAGCAATCGGAAAAGAAAGCGACTGAAGTAGATTAAAAATGCGGCTATAGAATTCACTGTAAAAAAAAAAAAATAAACTTCAAGGAGGTTTTGAAGTTGATCAGGCTGCCAATCTTAACATGGTAGAGAGATAATTTAAATCAGAAGAAATTTGGAAAAACAATCGCCAGATATCTTCTTGTTATTCTTTTATATGCTGCGCAATTTCAGAACATGTGCGATCATGAATCTCCACAGCATCCTGCCCTTTGAAGTTCTCAGCAGTCTTTTCTCCCGCTCTGCCATCCATTCAATCAAAAACGTTAAGTAGGCTCCTCTGTTTCCCTGGGTTTTTCCTGACTTTAATATATCTTGTGAGTGTTAAATTCTCCAAGCACTCTTTTCTCAATATGCGTGCCAGAAATTTCAGTTGCCTTTATCTGATCTTAAGCATAAGTGTCCTTTTTGTTCCCATTTTCTTTAAAACTTCCTTGTTACTAAACATGTTCCATCTATGGTATTCGCAAAATCCGTTTGTAGAACTACATCTTCATATATAAGTAAATTGTCCACTATTTACTACCATATGAAATGGTTGGTATTACCATATAGAAGAGTATTTGCTACAACATAGCAGTTAAGAATCAATGCGAATTTGTACAGTGAATCCTGGCCATTTCAGATCATCCACCAAGACTTATAAAAATGTATTTCCAAAACAATTTTTAAAAGGATATATGGTATTTACCCAACTCCACGTGAAGGGATGACGCGACACGAGGCCGTTCGTAACGTAGGGTGCCGTCGGCCAATTCAATTATTGGCCCGGTTCCCGCAACCACGCCCATGTCATGCTGGCATGGATATTTCACCGGCCTTCCCTCTTTTACAGCAACGCATGACAGTGCTTTTACATGGTTGCAATCCCCGGGATCAGGCGCCTTCTCTATTGATTAATAAAGCGAACTGATACTACGCATTGATCCTGATCTCAACAGTTTTGGCATACAATGACAATCACGTTAAAAACGCCCTTTCTCGTGGAAAGATGTTTAAATACTTTATATGCAAATGAAACATGATTTGGTAATAGATTTTTAATAGTCTCAACTGATGATCTGAAATGTAGATAACTCCTTATATTTATTCGCATCTCTTTTATTCATGACTTCAGTTGAATTCTTGCTTGAATTATAATTAGGACGACTTAATCACGTAAAGTAGGGTTTGCTTGTAAGTGGACGTCCTATTGTTAACACGATTCAGTAGTAGAGGAAAAATTTAATTAATTAATCCATATTTTGTTTGACATTTTCCATTTCAGAAACAACGTAATGTTCAATTAGTTTCTTTAATAAACATCGATTTTATCCAAACAGGACAAAAATCATTCCTATTTTATTGCGTTATAGGGACGCATGAATATTATAAATAATTTTTAGATCAATTATCCGTCATTAATGTTCCAAATGGGGAAGAAAAATACATAGTTCTAGATCCTGGTTTAGAATGGAGTCGAATGGAAAGAGGCTACACTTTCAGTCGACGTTCCTAAATTCCATTGATTGCTTTATAAACATTGCGGTCTTTCTGAAATACATATACACATTCCTTAAACAAAATGAGGCGCGAAAATTGCTGCGAATTTTTTATACATCTGAATAAAATAGTTGATAAAATAATGCAATCGGTTCATAAAAATATTTCTACTGATCATACATGATAAATGAATAAAAATATTTCAATAAAAGAAAGTATTAAAACACAACGAAAATACGCTTTAAAGAGATGACAATTGCAATTTATTATTCATGAAATACAAATAAAACTACTCTTCAGCCTCTATAAAATGATGGCTAAAGTAATAAGTCATCAGCATATATAAATCAAACGGTGGATTCCACAAAGCGTTCACATTCATTAAATGGCAAAACAGGGGTTCATTTTCACGAGGCATCTATCTATCTATCTATCCATATATATATATATATATATATATATATATATATATATATATATATATATATATATATATATATATATATATATGTATGTATATATATATATTACTATGTTAAAAGGTTGAATATGTGTAATTTCATGACAAAACATTGCTAATCTTTTAAATAATGACGACAAACATCGAAAAATATCGAAAAACACTATCAGTCTTTTCCGTTTAGCGCATTTTCATATATCGATTTATTTTATTTCAATTAGTCGATGTTATAGAGTAAATGATAATATCAATGTGTAAGAAAGTAATGTAGAAATGTTTTTACAGTGCATGAAAACCAATGGTGTGTCCGTTTCAAATATATGCTTTAATGTAACCGGTGCATTTCCTAAAAGAAAATGGACAATAAATACACCTAAAAAAATAACAGGATTAAAGGTTGTTTTTTTTTTTTCACCTTCTTTTGAGATTCCATTTTTATTTTTGATGTCGAAAAATGACTTTTTTTTTGTTAAGTTCTTAAGATTACTATGGACAAAAACGTGTATTACACAAAATTAAGTACGGAAATTCCGTATTTGTACTCAGAATTGGTCTAGCATGTTACCATTACATAAGGAAAGACTTTTATGAAACACGCTTGGAAAATAGACTATTAATCGGAGAAAAGATGCGGCACTGAATTAAGTTGTCTGATTCCAAATTCATACTTAGAATGGTTCTAGCCTGTATAGACCATCCATTATACATATTTATATGATTGTACAAACCTTGAGTTAGATTACCGTCCTGGGTATGACGATAAACTACATCCGCATCCTGGGTAAGACGAGGAACGACGTCTAACAGCAAGGCCTCTGATCAGGAGGTTTTGAGGAGCGTGAAACCACATCTTAATTGCTGGTGTTCCCAGGTCCATCCTGATCCGGTGTGGTAGCAACTGTTAGGGTCCCCGCTATGGACAAATAGTTAACCCCAAGACTAGGATAAAAACGCTATGTAAGTGTAAAAATCAGTTTTAATACCAGAAATACGTTGTAAAAACTTATTATCAGCAATAAATTCTTGAAGGAAAAAAACTATTACCAGCAATACCTTTTTGAAAAAAATATCACCAGCAATACGTTTTTGAAGAAAAAATATTACCAGCAACACCTTTTTTGGAAACAAAATTATTACCAGAAATAGATTTTTGACGAAACAAAATATTACCAGCAATAAAAATTTTGTCGGCATTAAATAACCCATTCAGGTTGATATGCCGTAAACCATACTAAACCAAACTAAACCAAACCAACTTACATCGACAGCAACAAAAGTCTTTCCATTAGAAAAGAGAGAAATGATGCTGTATTCAACTAAATTAAATATGTTGATTCAAAATCTGTACTCAAAATTTTCTTAGCACATCAGGCTTTTGAGGTCAGCAAACATCAACTTAAATATATTAATAGCATATTAATATGTTCTTGAGCTGGCAACATAAGATCCATTCATGTTAATTGTAAGAACTCTCTTGGGTTTCATACAGCTGAAAACTATGCCGATTTGATAAACAACATGCTAACAATCATAGAATGAGATGTTATATGTCTCTTAAAATGCACTTCTTATATTCTCATGCCGTAAGTGATAATGAGAGATTTAACTCGGACATAACTGATTTAGAACTGACGCATTGATCCGATTCATCGCAATCATGATAGTTGACTACCTCTGGTTCCTAAAACAGATTCTTCACAGATTCTGTGAATTGCCATGACTTCTTGGAAAATATAGTTGAATGGTTCCCAGTTGCTTCTCCACCACTGGTTTCCATCCAACGCTAGAGAGACCAGTCTGTTCTGCTTTTTTGGCAATATCTAATGAGGAAAAGAGGCGCATTCGTGCCTTTACCACGATATTAGTGCGAAAGTTAATGCAGTAGGTTAACTGGGAATTTGGACACTATATACTATTAATAAAATATCTATCTTGAAAATTGGCAAGATATAAAAATATACCGAAGCGTGACGCGCGAAAACAGTTCTGAGTACAGGACAGCAATCTGGTGTACTCGATTTAGTTATTTAAAACATGGATTTCTTGGATAAAAGACACTCACTTTTTTGCTGCCTAGAATTATTAGAATTTTTTTCACATGTTCCTATCAGTGTTGTACACTGCTCTTTCACAGAGTTGGTCCTTTCATTTTCTGGTTTCATAAACTTCTTACAACAGTTTACAATTGCCATAGCAAAGACAACGCCACCTGGCATCGCAGGCGCAAGGGAGATAACTCTAGTTTAATTCTTTACATTGGCAACATTCATAGTTACTGACAAAAAATAACTTAGCCTAATGGTACGATAGTCTCGTTATCATTTTATAAAGTTTGTAATCTTTATTCCTGAGTCATGTATTCGGAAATAGCTTCGAATCAGAATCGAACTCTCTGATACCTCGGTAAGTTTTCTTTTATGAACTGACGTTTTAACCATTTAGATTAGCAAATCTCCCCCAATCAGTGTTGTAGCGTTAAAATATTTTCTGCCAATATCTGAAACGTTTGATGTTGGTCTCATTGAGCTTTCTTCGTTTCACGTTTTCCATTGACATGCGATGGAGTAATTATATTGAATCAGCTAGATCAGCTGCTAGAAAAGTTGGCTCATTGTGTCACGCTAGACAACTTATCTCGCAAAAATCCATCTTACACATCTATAAATCTACTATCTT